CTGATGCACTTATCAGACTGTAGTTTTATAGACATAACTATGCTTCCTTGAAGTACATTTATTATGTTTTTGTGGAGGAGCGCAACTTATTTTCAGACTGTTTTGAGATTTATTTTTCAATGAATCGGGAGCGAAGTTTGCAATAAATGTTATCAACAGTAATAAATTGCAGCAAGTAATTATGTAAACAATATTGAAAAATGACTAATGCTGATAAACGAAAAGAAATAATCCTTGGGATAAACAAAGCGTTATACAACAATAAAATGATTTCCCTGCTGAACAAACGGTTTTCACTTCACGTTTTGTATTCCAACAGATCCAGTTTGGGTGAATTTGGTAACAAAGTCCAAAACATACCTACGCGAAGTGTGGCGTTAAACGTGACGACAGTTTGTCGAGCGCATTGATTTTGGGCACCATAAATTAGAATCATTTCCAATCTTTCGGCTAGTGTGTAAACCATTTTGGAAGTAAAATCTGAATCAATAAATTAATGTTCGTTATCCCAAGATTGTCACAAACGTAACTGACAGCAAATTAAATTCTCTCTTTCCCTTAGCAACAAATAAATAAACAGGTATAACAATAAATACTGTTCGCCCAAGATATGTGTTGGGGAAAGAATGCGGAAAAAATTCGGGTTGTGATTTGATCGTTGCCACGTCTAATCTTCGGAATTGCTGTTTATGTTGGTAGTTTACGTTTTAAATTATAAACGAATTGTAGATTTGGCAAACCCTATTGGGCAACATTTTGAACACTTATTGAAATAAAAAGTGATATTTTCGTGTGTTTTTGTTTTCTATCTGAACAAATTAAGAATCTAATTTTCTCGTAAACGAATCTACCGATTTTAAAAATCAATCGTCAAAATAACGACCTTTCAAACAAGCTAATACTCGATACCTCTTGTCATTTAAAATTTTTAAGGGAGTGACCCGGGGGACCGAGGGTGAAGTAGTTTTTGGTTAAAAAGTTGTTTTCGATAAATCAGCGGTGGGAAGTTTTTAAATGAACACCCTGTATGGATAAATGCGCTTTACTGTCTGAAGAATGCAATCATTTTAATGACAAAGTTAAATGAAGCTCAAAAACTATGTGTAAATTTAAATACTGGTATTATTAGTAATCGGTAATAAATAGGTAAACTGCTTCACATTCCTAATTTATTCAGTCGTAAAACTACTTGGAGGATGTCCACCTATTAAACGATTTGTTGTGCAGTGAGTCATGGTCGCTTTCTCTTAAAGGTACGCATATTTTAATTTTCAATCTGATGTATAGAAATCCATTTAGTACTTGCATTTGAAGGGCCCCGTAAAAAATGAATGTCACAAAAATGAGTTTCAAGAAAAGTGAGTTGAGGACTCCTAGACTCGTTGTACAGGGTTGGTTGAAAGATCTGACGGAGTATCATAGATACCTTATTAAAAGAAATTGAAAAAATAATATATATATATATATAACTTGAGACGTGGTCATTGTCGTCTAAACAGTTAGGTGAAAAATTAAAGCTTCGGCCTTTTGTTGGGTACTTCGACAAAATTTAAGCAAAGAGGACTCTTTATACTTTTTTTAATTCTCTCTAGCTTTCAATGGACTTTGCCATCATCATCAGGAGCTGCAATTACAATGATAACAGTAGCAACAAAAGTGTAAAATGAATTTAAATTGAATCACTTACAGTAGTATGTGAGGATGTGCTAATTGTTGTTTTCGTATAGGATGAGGGAAACGTCCAGTAACATGGTGAGAGCTGGGATACATGGTACAATGGTTAAAATTATATAAATATGACAAGACAAGTTAAATACAGATTAAAAATTATTTAGAAAACATTAGAGCATTACGTCGTGAGCCACTGATGATTGCACGAAAACAACAATTAGCAACATCCTCACATACTACTGTAAGTTGATTCAATTTAAATTCATTTTACACTTTTGTTGTACTGTTATCATTGTAATTGCAGCTCCTGATGATGATGGTAAAGTCCATTGAAAGCTAGAGAGAATTAAAAAAAGTATAAAGAGTCCTTTTGCTTAAATTTTGACGAAGTATCCAACAAAAGGCGGAAGCTTTAATTTTTCACCTAACTGGTTTAGAGATTGTTGCTGAAATTGTTTTAAAACAACAGTGAAGGGAACACATAGTCGACGAATAAAAAACTGGACTGATGAGGTTCGATTAGGACGGAATTATTTTATTATTAAATGGCAAATCATTTGAAGGGTTTTTTTAATTTAAACGTTGATTGATTGAGATTTGGAAATTTTAAAACTATCAACTATTGAAATTCCTTCGAAATTTCATCTTTTTTTCACTGATAACCTCCACATTATCCAACACGTGCCGGCCGACTCTTGTGGAGGTTAACAAAATCAATCAACGGTTAAATAAAAAAAACCTTTCAAAAATGATTTGCCATTTATTAATAAAATAATTCCGTCCTAATCGAACCTCATCAATCCAGTTTTTTATTCGTCGACTATGAGTTCCCTTCACTTTTGTTTAAAAACAATTTCAGCAACAATCTCGCCCGACTTAGCAACTATTTTTCCTCTAATTGTTAATTGTTGCTATTATCAATAATTGTTTCCAGCTCCAGACGATGAAGACATAGATCTTCGAAAGCTCGAGTTTAAGTTATAAGAGTGTACTTTTGCAATACTTCGCTTCTACCCAAAGAATTCAAGGAAATATATAAAAATATTTTTTGTGATGTAGCCCAAAAGTAAAAGCAGACCAACAATTTTTAATGGAAAATCTTTTTATTTTTTATGTTTTGAGATTCTCTCCTGGTGATTGTAAACATTTTATGAATCCATTCCATGCCTGAATTCAACTTTTTTGAGATATGAGGTTAGAAATGAGTTTTCGTCAGACAGGTTACCCTGTATATTTTTGTGATATCATGAATTTATTTATCTGAGTGTATAACAGAAAGATAAGTAATTCGTACGACATTTATATCTGGTTCGATTTTCGATTAATTTTGGTATAACATGGCTGCAGAGTTATAACATCAACCTGATAAAAATTTGATCGCTGTGAAAAAATAATTTCCAGTTGTGTATGAAAACATTGGTGTAAGTATCCGATACGCATGTCTATGTATACAGTGAAGATCTGTAACTACTGAAATAGCTAAAACAGTATGTACAACCAACGTGATTGATGAATACAACATTATTATGGTTGACATTTATATTAAGCCTTTTTATATATTTTCATTCCCCTTGGAGTAATATAAAAGCTGCATTCTACGCACTTTTCCTCAATTTCACCATATTAAACTAAATAGTTCTTTTCTCAAAACCGTGACCTTGTACCACGTTACTGAACGATTTTTAGGTCTTTGATTCAGCTTTGTAACGCCTTTTGTTACACAAATCTCAACATTAAGCTCTTATCTTTTTTATACTCCAACCACCACGAAGGCCTAAGGCCTAAACACTCATGGAGTACCGTGGGGCTATAGGATGATAAAGGGGAAATGGGGAACTCCACACGAGATCCGCCGGGTGGTACCTCCGCGTTCGACAGTCACAGACCGTCTACCACCTACGGACAATCACAACATCCATAGCCAAGAAGAATTTCTCCTGGCACGGGATTCGAACCCGCACAGCGCAGAGTCTACTACTGCGGCCACCGCTGCTGCCTAAATCTTATCTCATACTTCCAGACCAGGCTAAGATTTCGCATTGGTTTGAGAAATTTTTCCGATCAATTTTTTTTCATAACTCCGTTTTTTAGATACCCTTAATATGAATCAAGAGTTTCCGGGACGGTTTAAACAAAAATTGTTTTTTGCTCTGGGTAGTGTTTTGGACCTTTCTCAAAAAAATTGCTCTTTGTAACTATTCTCTAAAGTACGCGCGCGTACGTAATATTCCGTATTTACCCAGCGGCTAAAAGGGCCATGGCCCGGGGCGAGTCAAGAAAGGGCGGGTGATGATCCCCGCCCCTCTACGAACTCAACGGTAACCTAACCAAAAATACAACCAAGAGACAAATCTTGGCCATGACGTCACGGCGAAGTACGCGACACATTTTAAAAAATTTAAACACAAATCCAGGCATTCCCATGAGTAATACAGGGTGACTTTGAAGTTGAGTCATCAATTTTCAGATAATGATTGTAGAAGGAAGATAAACCAAAATATGTGTGTAAAAATAAAAAAAAATTGTACCTTGTTTTATAAAGTATCCTCCCTTCAAGTATTTCAGTGCGGACCTGTATTTGATCGTGAGGTCTTGGAGCACCGGCATGCCCTCCCTGTGAGGTCTTAAGTCACCTGATTCACGAGCCCGTTGTACTACATTAACAAAGGCACGCAGGAGGGGTGGTTGCACTCGATTGGGAAACCGATCCGCATAAACATGTGCCATTTTTTATTTCGTTTGAGCCACGCAGCAAACCACTATTCACTCACGCGTTACCGATTGACACATTGACTGAATAAAAACATCGTGATCAGCGTTTCAATTCTTTCGCTTTTTTGTTTCCGATGCGATGAACCGATACGGCGGATTATATCGTTGTTGCCAAACACGAGCACATAATATTATTATTGACCCAGGGCGGTACTCAAACTTCTAAAGGGCTATAACTTTGTTACTTTAATTTTACCACAAAAATGTTAAAGGAAAAACATTTCTTTTGATCAGATATACTCACTGTTAAAATAAATGACTCGAAGTCACCCTGTATACCAAGTGACATATAAAATGCAACACCCAAAATATTGGTTCCAAGAAGGTCGAAATCGACGATTTAGAAGTACTAGACGTCAAAGACACTCCTAGTCGGTGTTGCATTTTCTAATCATTTAGTATGTTATGTTTACACTATTATATTTACGTAAATAGTCGTTAGAAAATTAAAAAAATAATGCCTATTGGACGAATAAGATTTTGTTTCTTCTGCAGATGGAGATTTTTGGTATCAAGTTTGCTCCGTTAAATGTACCTCTGGAAAGGCGGTTACAAACACTAGCTGCGGCAGCATGGATGGTAACGATGACATTTGGAGGCATAATAGGATTCTCGCTACTTTTATATTTACTCTTGTTTACAAAACTATGGTGGTTGGCCTGCATATACGTTGTGTGGGCATACATCGACAGAGACATTTGTGAAAGAGGTGGAAGACCTTTCAAATGGGTTAGGTGAGAATTTTGAAATACATTGTACACCGACAGATTTGTTGCGAAGGTATTATTTTTTGTGGCTTATCTAAAGTCAAAAGTGTATTCCAAAATCCACGAACAATTCCGCGAGCGAATACGTTGAGTAATAAATATTTTCTTTACATTAGTTTGTATTTTTTTTTCTTAAATCAAAAAGTGAACTTTCCATTGGACATCCTTATTATTTGTAATCGTTTCAACTTACATACATGGTGGCCC